CATACGTTACTATATAGGATTTAAAAATCATATCTTTCTATTGCAGGCCCTTTTAAAAATAGAACCTTAATAGATGCCTCAAGGTAGTTTACTGTGTGCCCCCTGGTAGGAGAGAGCTTTCTTGATGATGCTATAGCTGGAGCCCAGCTCCTCTCCATGTGTGCCCTTGCCTATGACTGTTCTGTTGCTTATGGACTAGCCTGATCTATGAGGACAGTCTTTGAAAGAGGAAAGTAAACATTGCATTGTTCTAGGTGGAAGGGTTTTGCAACTATTTTGAATTGTGGAATTTTATTGTCCCATAAGGATATAATTGGAAATTTTGTCTTAAATATCTGTTGCAATGCTTGCAAATTCAGATAAACTGATGGAAGAAAGACATGTAGATATTTCCTAAATCTCATTATGGTTTCATTGTTCATTATCTTTCATGGGTTTAAACAGGACTTCTGTCATTATGAAGGCATTAATAACTTTAAAATACAGTACTTTGCTCTCAGTTGCTGGTAGTTTTGATGCCTAAGTGGCCAAAGTGCTCTCATGAAAGTATGTGAGAGCATTGAGAAATCTCTTCATTAAATATAAACGGCTAAAGAAAACAATGTCAAGTTTTTATTTGAGCCAAGGGAAAGGTGAAGGGCTTGCTTTTAGAGGTGGACTGTGAAAGACAAGAAGAAAGTACATTAAAGCGCCCAATACCATGATCCACCACCTGCTAAACTCTCCCCACATTTGGAGTTCAAGAACCATTTCCATATTTATCGAAAACTTTACCATGTAATTATGTTTTTCAAAAACAAGAACTATAATAGGAGGGACTATTTTATCCTCATCTTTAATAAACATGTTTACATATTTACAGGACCATCATGTTGGTGGGCCTCACAAAATGAAGAATAGGTAAATGAAAAATATTCACTATGACATCCAACAGTATGGTAGGTTGACATACAAGATAAGTCACATGCATTATGTGTTTTATAGGAGTATATGTTCAAAATATATTGGAAAAAATAAATGCATACACAATAGACCATGAACTTTCACCATGGAGCTGAGCCCTGATCTTCCTGTCTCCACCTCCTAAGTTCTGGGATTATAGGCACGAACTATCATATAGAACTTGAAGATCATTATTTTCTTCATTAATTATCTAGTTAATTAATTAATTTTGAGATAGGGTCTCACTATGTAGCCCTGACTGGACTGGAGCTCACTATGTAGAGCAGTCTGGCCTGGAACTCAAGAGAGTCACCCTCCTCTGCCTCCCAAGTGCTGGTGTTAAAGGTGTGTGCCACACACTCTTTACTTTTTCACTCTGTAATAAATGTCCACAGTACAAAATTCAATCAATATGAATGCATAGTGAATGAAGATTTAAATTTTCTCTTTCTAATTTTCAGAAAGAGTGTCAATTTCTTGTGAACCAAGTCCCTCCACCTCCATTTGGCTTATGATACAGACAATCTTCATTTTGCTTAGTAATACAGCCTCATAAAAGTCACTGTGTATGCTGGATATGCCGGTTTATACCTGTAATCCCAGAACTCTGGCAGCTGAGGCTGGAAGATTGCTTTGGGTTTGAGGTCATCCTGTGTTTCAGAGTGAGTTTTGGGCCAGCCTGTGTTACAGAGTAAGAGATTTGCATCAAAACAAAAGCACTTATATAAATAAAGCATGCAAAAGTAATCCTGAGTGGGAAAATTGTAATTGTTTTTGACCTTCTTATTCTATAATCCAACTCAGAGATCTTCTTTTCTGTTTTGACAAATTGTCAAAATCCTTTCTGTTTAGATCAGCTCCAGCATTGAACCATTTGCACTTTCAGCTTATGAAATATTCTCAAAAGATATATTTAGTATGATTGTTTTTAGGGATAGGATCTCTTATAGTTCAAGCTGACCTTGAAGTTGCTATAGTCTGTCAAATAACAATATTACTATCCTTATGGTGCTATTGTTTATATCTTGACTGTCCCCCACAAAGGCCCTTTTGTTACAGGTTTTTTTCCCTAAGGTAACACTGTTAGGGAGTAATAGAATATTTTAAAAAATATTTTATTATTTTTATTTTATGTGTATGAGTGTATTGCCTGTATGCATGTGAGTGCACCTGTGTCATGCAATGCTCATGAAGGTCAGAGGAGGGCATCAAATTCCCCTGGAACTGAAGTTATAGATGGTTGTTAGCTGCCACGTGGACACTGGGGATTGAACCCTGGTCCTCTGCAAGAGCAGCCAGTGCTCTTAACTGCTGAGCCATCTTTCCAGCCCCCAATAGTGGAATCCTTAAAAAGCAGGGCTTAGTGGAAGGACTTTAAGTCATGGTGACAGATTCTTGAAGGAGATAGTGGGATCATGCCTTTCTTTTACTGCCTATACATGATGTAAGAGGTCTTGCTCTGTCACACACTCTTCCATGATGATGTCTGTCCCCACACTGGGGAATTAAAAGCAACGACTCTGTCTGATTATGTACCAAAACTTTCAAAACTGTGAGCCCAAATTAACCTTTTCCCTTGTAAACTGGTTATTTCAGATATTTGTTATAGTAACAGGAGGCAGATCAGCACACATGGTCAGTGATTTCTTTTCTAATTCAATTACCCATTTTTTAAATGTCATTTTGCAAAATATCATTGGATTTTACCATTGGGAGATAAAGAAGTAATATAACTAATGTTTTGCTGTTTGTGCATGATTTGAATAACATAACTATAATGTCCAATCACTGATTGACTCAAAAAAAGTGACATGGGTATTCTGGTACTCACAGAGATCCACCAGCCTCTGCCTCTCCGGGGCTGGGATTAAAAGCATGTACCACCACATCCCAGTTTATGAACATCAAGTGCCCTTAACTGCTGAGACATCACTCCTGCCCTGCAGCTGATCTTTCCTTGATGTAAACAACTGCTACAAATGTCTTTGAACATGCTTCATCTTACACACATGCAAATTTATGTGCTGGTGAAACTACAAAACCCAGAACAAACACAGAATCTTGAAATTAGAATACTTCTTTTTCATACCCCACCAATAATTAGAATCAATAAGTGACTTAATTTTCAATAGACCACATTTGGTGGCCTAGTTTGTTTGTGAAGTAAAAGTTACAAATATTACTTACATAATAGGTCAAAGGGCACTGGTAGAATCATTGAAGATTAAATTTATTGGGATGAGAAAATCCTTTAGGCAAGTTTCATTATTCTCTGATTTAAATTGCATTTTTGCATGTGTATGACAGGGTCTCACTGTGTAGCCGCGGATGGCCTGGAACTCTCTGTAGACCAAGCTAGTCTTGAACTCATACAGATCCACCTGCCTCTGCCGCCCAAGAGCTGGGACTGAAGGTGTGTGTCACTCCTGGTGTAAACTGTCTTTTGTATACCTCTGATCAAGACAGAGTGACTGTCTATCCTTTAGTTTTCATTTCTGAAAATGTAACAAATGACCGAAGAACAGGAGGACAACAGGGAAGTTTTCCGGGAAATCAAATTTTAGGGGTTAAGTATGGGGATCAGGGTTGGTATCCATTCATGTTTATGTTGTATTCAAACTGTCCACATTACCAAGAGAAGTTCACCTGCAGACAAAACCTCATGCTTGTACGGTGAGAACAGGGGTTCCTAAGAAAAGGTTAAATTATGTATGCTGTGATTGATTTAAGAAAACAACACAGTTTATTTGACACTTCAAATTGCCATTAAAAAGAACACTACCAGGCCGGGTATGATGATGCATGCTTTAATCCCAGCACTCAGGAGGCAGAGGCAGGCAGATCTGTGTGAGTTCAAGGCCAGCCTGGTCTACATAGCAAGTGCTAGGCCAGCTGAGGCTAAAGAACACTACCATGTAATTGGGAGGTGGAATCAGGAAGACCAAAAATTCAAGGTTGGAACTGGGAATATAGTTCAATGGGTAAAATGCTTGCCTAGCATGTAGAAGGCCCTGGGTCTGAGCCCCAGTACAGCATTAACTGGATGTGATGTGTACACACAATGCAATCCCAGCGCTCCTAAGGTGGAAGCAGGAGAATCTGAAGTTCAAGTGTAGGTTGTTTAAGGCTCATCTAGGCTACATGAAAGCCTGACTTAAAGAAAATGAGAGAGAGAGAGAGAGAGAGAGAGAGAGAGAGAGAGAGAGAGAGAGAGAGAGAGAGAGATAGCTGGCTCTAGAGAGTCAACTTTGGCAGTTTAAAACATAGCTATCCAGAAAGGCTGAGTTCTGTAACTTGCAGATCTCCTTTCCAGGGAAATTGCACTTCTGTGTATCTTAGGTCTCTATGGTGGTTGGTTTCTGTCTCAATAGACCTGATAAGGCAACATTTTAGTTAATATGTACTAAAATTCTGAGAGTTCTCTGACAAACTTCCTTGTCTTGAACTCACTCTCAGAGAACTGGCCTGTTCATTTCAGCTCTGTTTGCCCTTCAGTTTCAAAGTATGTATCTATTTTCAAAGCATTCCTGTTTTTCTCTCTATTGCATTGCTTAATATTGATGCTTTAAAATTCTTTATACTTTTTTTAATTATAAAAGTTATATAGTTTGCAAAAACAGGGATGGTCAAAACCCAATTTCCTGCATACTTGCGCCAGTCTCAAAGAAATGAAGTGGTGGCTGATCCAGGAACGCATTCCGTCCAGGCTGCTCGTGGCATGTGCTTTCTGAAATGCAATTTGCGTATTCACTGTTTACTTGCACTGTGAAGTGCTCTTCTAAGACCTAACCTTTAGTCAGCGAGTGACTGTCATCATGGGAGAAAAAATAGCAGCTAAGCCAGAAATGACTATTCTGTGAATATTATGAGCTAAGAGTCAAAGGTCTAAATTAATTGGTTTCAATATTATTTTAAAAAGGAAAGATATTCTAACATTGTAAAAGAAATAAAATAATCCACCAGTGGCTCTTTCCATTGAAGTGATGAAGCCTAAGGAATTCCAATAGCAAAATGGAGCCCGTTAGAAGATCAGCTGTGTAACAAGCCAGCCTTGAAGGATGAGGAGCCCTTGCTGGCTCACCCTGAAACCCGTCAGTTCTGTGACCCTTGGCTGCATATGGATTTCTGTGGTGCACAGCACAGTTTTAAACAGCTGCCTGAAGTCATGTGTCACTAACCTGGTAAGTTCACCAACCTAATATTTGTCTTTGCAGGAACTGCAAATGGCTTTCTTTTTATAACAGCTTTTCTCATGAGAAGTGGTAGCCAGGAAAGGTAGTGTTTGGAAGGTAGGAGAATGTATAATTTCAGAATGTGCACTTACATCTTTGTTATCTGATCATGGATTTTTTTGGGGGGCGGGGGGAGCTCATGATTGAGTAGAAGAGGCTTTAAATGAAATCAGGTTTTGCAAACTTTAAAACATTCCATTTAAAGAGATGTATTTAAAAATTGGTCTTAAAATAAAAAATGGGGTTTTGGCACAGGGTAGACTTTCCAGATGTTTGCATTGTGGATGGATTGCTGAAGAGGAAGCAGGCACAAGGGACAGGTACAACAACATTTTGTGTTAAAAGATAATTATATGTGTCTCTTTATTTATACATACATATTTGAAATTTTTGATAAATAAGTTTCGACACAAACATTTTTTTCTTATTTCTAATTGTTGTCCCTTCTCTACATATTGTATGATATGTTATCAGCAGTTACTTAGTTGTGCTTAAAACAGTCATTAAATCAGCTTAAAGATCAAGTGCTCTAGCTGGGGTGAAATACTCACTTCCTCTCTGAAGATAAATAGCATGCTAGCTTGCATATGACATTTTTTGATCACATTTTAAAGTAACTAAGTATCAAACATTAAACTAGCTCCTATGCTAACATATTAGAGGCAGAATTCTCTGGTAAATTAAAAAACTTGCATTATACATTTGTGTTTTAAGTACTGCAATAAAACATTACTTGAGCAAACTATAGAGAATAATTTTTAAAACAGTTTATATAAATCTTTGCCAAAGATTTCACCACCTTTGATGCAGAATTGTTTGCTTTAGCTTTTGAAAAATATTTTATTTATTATTTTTATTTTATGTGTATGTGTGTGTTGCCTGCATGTAGGTAAGTGCATCCATGTGGTGCAGTGCCCACAGAGGACAGAAGAGGCTGGCAGATCCCCTGGAACTGGAGTTATGGACTGTTGTTAACTGCCATGTGGGTGCTGGGATTCGAACCCGGGTCTTCTGCAAGAACTGCCAGTGTTCTTAACTGCTGAGCCATCTCTCCAGCCCCTGCTTTAGCTTTTTTATAATTACAATCCAAATTTAAGAATAGAAACATGGAAGCCAAGCATTGTGAGGGAGGCTGAGGCAAGAGGTTACAGCCCAGGTTACAGGAGAGTCTGTATCAAACCACCCCATAACCCTTTCCCAAAAAGAAAGAATGGGACTACTATTTTCTGCCCCAAAAAGATTTATTTTTTTCTAAAAATAATTTGTATATGTTGAAAAATATATAATACTGTTATATGATAAAGAGAGAGGAATGAGGGGGAAACCTCTGTAATTCCAGTGATTGTATTAATCCCTGACTGTATTTTCTTTTAGCATTTTTTCTCAAATATATCTTTGTATATACTTGTTTTGGTGAGACAGAATCTCACTCTATTTGAGGCTGGCCTCAGACTCTTGGCAATCCTCCTGTCTCAGTCTGCTAAGTGCTAGAATTGGGGAGTAAGCCACTGGGACCGGCTAAACATTTTTTTAAATAAAATTTTTACAGGGTTTGAATTTCAGAGTATATTAGAATTTTCCCCTATATCCTGACGTTTTTGGAAACAAGATCTTTAATGTATTTAGTGTGTTACATCATAAGAGTATATCACTGCAATTTGTTAATTTCCCTACAATGAAACTGCTTTTGATTGTCTTCAAAATGCAGTCTTCATTTTGTTTCTAGGCTGGTTATTGTTCTTTCCTTGTGTGGGCTTCTTGATCTTGGGGTATGGCAGAAGGCCAGACAGTTTGTTCTTTTGTTGAGTTGCCTTCCGTTCCCCACCCACCAGAGGAAGGCACAGCTGATGAGCTGTCCATTGTAAAAGACACAGCCTGCCAGTTTGACTAGCAAATGTAATCAAAGTGCCGGGCCTCCCACACAGTTTGGTGTGGGGGGACCGTAGGTGAATGGACAACTGAATGCAGCCATGGGTGAGAAGTTGAGATGTGCTCCATTATAATTTTTGTGCTGGCCATTTAAAAGTGGACATTTCCTGGGAAGGTTATCTTTGACTTCAGAATTTCCATGGGTGGTTCTTGATGTTAAGGCATTTTAAAATTTAAAGATAAGAAATAGAATCTTGAACAAAAGAATGTCAGAATTAGTCTAGACATGGTGATTCAGGCTTATAATTCCAGCAGTTAGGAGGATGATACCAAAGGATCACTATATTGTAGCCAACCTGGGCTACAATAGTCAGCTCCAGGACAGCCTGGGCTATAGAATGAGACTGAGTCTAAAAACCAACCAACCAAACAACCATCCAACCAACCAAACAACGAACCAGCCATCCAAACAACCAGCCAACCAACCAACCAAACAACCAACCAGGCAACCAATCAACCAAACAACCAAACAATAGCTAAAACAAAAACCAACCAACCAACCAAACAGAACAAAACTTACAGAATGTTAGAATTGCTCAAAAAATAAGCACAAGCTAGAATTCTGTGCTTGAGTATGGGTGTGGCACATTGGCTAAAGGATCTGTGTATATGAGGTGAGTATATTAACTGACAATATATTTGAATTCTAGATGCCATGTGTTGCAGAAAACACAAAAATGATGAAATTCTCTAGGATACTAGTATTATGAGATGATTTGTTAAATAGAAAAAGCAAAGATTCATGATAAAATAAATTGTGGAAATGCATTTTTGCTGTAGGATCACAGGGTAAAACCGCAAATTAAAGATTTTAGTCACAGTTTTCTCAGTTTGGGCCTCAGAACTCCTTATTTTCAGTAACAATTTAATATCTGAGGATTTATTGTCCAGAAGCACTCACTTAGAAGTGTCAATTCTTTTCAATAGGTTTCCAGAGGGGCATCTGTATCTCCAACTTTGTAGTAGATGCAATTGGAAATAAAGTAGTGTCAATTATGTGACCAGTGCCCTACTGAAAGGTGCAACATGTTGATGTGTGTCATTGTCTTGATCACTAGACAATAAAGCTACTCAAGTATTATGTATTATAGTTTTTACTGTATCAGAGAATAATAACACAGTTTAAAATTTGCTTTGAAAGCTTCAAAGGGATCAACCAAAAATCAGCCAAAAGAATATTAGAAAACAGGCCACAGAAGACTGCAATATTAAGAAAAATCATGTACAAATATCAGTACTGTTTTTTTTTTTTTGTTTGTTTGTTTTTTTGAGACAATGCCTTATTATGTAGCCCTGCCAGGCCTGGAACTTGCTATGTAGACCAGGTTGGCCTTGAACTTTAGTATCTCTCTTCTATGTCAATAGACAACATTAAAACAAGATAATGATAGAGCAAAATCTCAATCCAAATATTCTGTGCAATAGCAAGAAATTTGCATAGTTTGTTTTTGTATAGGAATAGACTTGCCAGTAAAATGAAATATAAACCAGAAATAAAACCAGATACATAGGGAGTAAGGAATCTGATAAAGATGGCAATTCATTCTTTGTTGTTTTTGAGATAGGGTCTTCTAATGTAGGCTTGATTGATGTGGAACTCATTATGTAGTCCAGGTTGACCTCAAACGTGCAGCAATCAACAATTTTTCTACTTCCTCCTCCTAAGTGATGAGATTCAACCTCTCTCTCTCTCTCTCTCTCTTTTTTTTTTTGATTTAGTCTCATGTAGACTAGGCTGGCTTTGAACTTGCTATGTAGCTGGTGATAACCTTGAACTCCTAATCCTCTGGATGCTACTTCATAAATGCTGGGATTACAGGTGTGTCCCAATCTGCCCCACTAAGGCACCATACACTTCAAATTAAAAAAAAAAACAAAAACCTACATTACTACCAGATTCAAATAAGATCTAGGAGCTACTAAACAAAGGGTATGATTGAAATACAAGCAGACAAATAAAATTAATGAATAAAAAATATATTTTAAATTTATCTTTGTTTTATGTGTACGAGTATCATGCCTGCATGTATGTAAGTACAGTGCCCTCGGAGAACTGGAGAGGGCATCGGATCCCTTGGAACTGGAGTTAACAATAATTGTTAGCCACCATGTGGGTGCTGGGATTCGAACCCAGGTCTTCTTCAAGAGTAGCCAGTGCTCTTAACCACTGAGCCAATTCTCCAGTCTCATAAAACTTTTTTTTAAAAAGAAATTTATTTGCCTATAACCCCAGTACTCAGGAGACAGAGGCAGAGAGATCTCTGTGGATTCGAAGCTAGTCTGATCTTGATTGAGCTCCAGAGCAGTCAGGGCTACATGGTGAGACACTGTCTTAGAAAACAAAACAAAACAAAACAAAACAAAACAAAACAAAAAAACAAAAGGAACAAGAACTGTATTGGAGATTATCGCATAACTAACCAAAGGTGCGTATGCACATACTGTAGTAGATTTCTAAGGGTCTGCACTGAACTGTAATTTTTCCAGTTTTTGATTTTTATACATTTTTTAGAATTTATATTTATGTCTTTATCTTTGGCAATGCTGAGGATTGAACCTAGAGCCTTGCACATGCTGTTATTGTTGTACCACCAAGTTAAACCTCAGCTCTATTTTTTAAACTGATACACAAAAACATAAAAAATTGTACTATAATAGTACATTATTTAATTGAATCTTATCTGAATGTTATGAGTTGAACATTAAAACCTTTTTTTGTTTGTTTTCTGTGTTTTGGATATTTATTTATTTATTTATTATTTTTTTGGTCTTTGAGACAGGGTCTCCCTGTAGCCCCAAGCTGTCCTGGAACTCATTATGTAAACCAGGCTGACCTTGAACTCACAGAGATCCACCTGCCTCTGCCTCCCAATGTTGGGATTAAAGGCCGGCGCCGCCACGCCTGGCTGGATTTATTTTTATTTTAAAAAATATTTTATTATTTTGTTTTACGTGCATGAGTGAATTACCTACATGTATGTAACTGTACCTGTGTTGTGCAATGCCTGTGGAGGTCAGAAATGGGCATTCAATGCCCTGGAACGGGAGTTACAGATCATTGTTAGCTGCCATGTGGGCACGGGGAACGACACGCTGGTCCTCCGAGGGAACAGCCAGTACTCTTAACCACTGAGCCATCTCTCCAGCCCCTATGTTTTGGGTTTTTGAGTCAAGGTTTCACTCTGTAGTCCAGGCTGGCCTGGAACTTGAGGCAATCCTTCTGTTTTAGCCTCCTAAATGTTGGGATTATAGGTGTGAACCAGGATAGGTGTGAACCAGGATACCCAGTTTATGAATTAAATATTATCCTTCTTATGTGTCAGATGAGAATACCAAATTTGAAATTTCTCAAGAGCAAGTGTAATATGTGGTGTTAAAGTGGTGACACTCATGCTCTCTCTGTTCCTTTTATGAGATTCTTTCTGGCGGAGGTGAACAGAATAGGAAAGCTTGTGCCAAGAAGTAGGTGTTGGGTTAAGAGGGTCTGAGATGTGGGACCGGGTTTGCCTCTTGGAGGCAGATCACTAGAACAACTGCACTAAGGGAAGCTGCAGGGAGCGCGAAGGTCCAAAGGAGGGAATGTGTGTTGGTTTTGGGTACGGAGGCCTTCTGTGTTCCCAAAGAGCACAACCTCGTTGCCTCTTTAAAATCCGAAAGCTGCCATTTACTAAACCTCTTTGAACCTCAGCTATACAAAAGGGTTAATAACAGCACCTACCCTGTAGGGTAGTTGAGACTGCTTAATGAGATTTAGCATAATGCTCCTGTAACAGTGCCCGGCTCATGGGCGTGATCCCTTAAATATGGGCTGTAATGATAATGGGGTGAGGGTGGAGAATGAGTGGAAATCAGGGCAAGTGCTGACAAGTCACTTCAGTAGGAAACCACAGACCTGGCTTTCCTGAGACTGCCTTGCCCAAGACCTCTTAGTGGGCACTCCACTCAGCCAGAAAGATTTTTATCGCTAAAGGGCCAGCACAAGGATTTGTGATTGGTCCAGTATAGCTTGTGACCATCAAGAATCTTCTGTCTCAGTGTTTAAAATGGAGTACAAACACTACTCAGCATTTCTTTTTTGGCCTTTATGAGCTAAAATAATTTTGAAGGGATGGGAAAAAAATATGAACCAATTAACTTGTTTTTATAGGGTTGGGATTCAGTCATCCCAACAGAAATCAGAACTTCATTTTGAATATGTTCATGGAATCAAAATGCTATTAAACATTAGAAGCTGGGTGTGGTAGCTCAAGCCTGTAATCCCAGCATTTCAGTGGAGGCTGGAGATCAGATCAAGCATAGCCTTGACTAGTGAGTTCAAGGCCAGCTTGAGATTTCATCTTTAAAAAAATCAAAATAGGGATGGAGAGATGGCTTGGTGATTAAGAGGCACTTGCCACTAAGAATGACGGCATGAGTTCGGTTCCCAGGACCCACATGGTGGCAGGAGAGAACTGACTCCCATGAGGTGTCCTCTGATGTCTAGGCTTGCTGTGGCACACTCCTCCCACCACTCCACAAAATCAATCAATCAGTGACAAAACAGGGGATGGACAGATGGCTCAGCAGTTAAGAACACTTACTGCTTTTCCAGAGGACCTGGGTTCAATTCCCAGCACCCACATCAGGTGGTTCCCAGTGGCCTGTAATTCCAGTTCCAGGGGTTCTGAGATCCTCTTCTGGACTCCACCAGCGCCAGGCATACATGTGGTACACATACATACATGCAGGCATTCACAGGTATTCATATAATATAAAAATAAGTAAATCTTTAGAAAACAAACCCAACAAACCAAAGTGACAAATCAACAAAAAAATGCCCGAAGAACCCCTAAAGGTTAAAGAATTCATCTGAGAGTTTTCTATAAATACAAAACAATATTACTTAGTTCTTATGCAAAAGCATATATAAGCAAACTTCTTTCCTTACAAATATAGATGGCAACAGAATGAAGTTTAGAGAAATACTCAGTCACACATCAAAGAAAGGATGACTTTTTGGGGGGTTCCTGTGTTTGATTTCTTCTCAAATTAACCCCACAAAGTCAAGTCATTGGATAATACCTCCAGGGGCTCCTGGAGTATTTTGAAGTGGGAGACGACTTTTAAATCATTCCTTTCGTGTATATTTATTGAACAGTGATTATTCACCAGGCACTGTTCTGAGTCCTGGGAATAAAGAGTGAAATGTCCTGAAAGAAGAGAGAGAGTCCAGTCATTTTAGTGCTAGGCTGCCTTGCTCCTTTGTGACAGCACAGCAGGTTTTGAGGTCACACTGAGTACTTAAACCACACTTTGACCTTGCTTGGAACTTTCTGTCATTGCCCGTGACATATTTTGTTTGTAGAAAGAGTAGGCAAGTTTGGACACTATGTCCCTTACTGTATTAATTCTCCAACTCAGTGGTTCATAGCAGCAAACTCTTAACGGGAGGTTCTGATTGGCTATGGTATCACATATCTATAATCTTAGCACTAAGGAGCTGAGGCAGGAGGATTGCAAGTTCCAGACCAGCCTATGGTACTTAGTGAGATTTTGTCTCACCAGACCAGATCAGACCAGACCAAACTAGACCAGACCAGACCAGGCCTGGCCAAACCAAACCAAACCAAACCAAACCAAACAACCAAACCAAACCAAACCAAACCAAACCATGGAGGTTCTCATTAGGATCAACCAGAAGTACCAGAAATATACATCTAGGTTGTCTCTGCCTATGATTTCATCAGTCAGTAGAGCATGAATGAAAGCGCATATCCATGTGACACTGTTCAGATATTTACCTGACCACCATGGATCCAGGTGGTGGGTGTTACAGTCCTTTGTCATCTTCCTATTGGTGAAGGACTCCATTCAAACAATGACCAGGGAGATGAATGAGTTATAGAAATTTTCTCCCTTTCTTGTTCCCCCATCCCTATATTTCTTTTATTTTCCTTTACTATAAAAAAGCTTCCAGGCATGGTAGCACATACCTTTAATTCCGGCACTAGAGAGGCAGAGGCAGGAGGATTCCTGTGAAATTGAGGCCAGTCTGGTCTATACAGCAAGTTCCAGTTCAGCTGGGACTACCGGGAGCCCCTGTCTCAAAAAAATGCAGAAACAAAACAAACACAAATAATAACAATAACAATGACAAAACCTTATAAACATGCATGAAGCCTTGGGTTTGGTTCTTAGCACTAGGAAAAACAAAACAAAACAAAACTCAAACAAGTTTTGAGCCAGGCATGGTGGCACATGTTTGTGATCCTAGCACTTCAGAGGTGGGGGCAGGAGGATCAAGAGTTCAAAGTCATCCTTTGCTATATAACAAGTTGGAGGTCAGTCTAGGCTACATGAGACACTTTCAAAAGCCAACAAAGTGTAACAAAACAAAAAACTTCTTTGTTACTTTTAATTGTTTGTGTGTGTGTGTGTGTGTGTGTGTGTGTGTGTGTGTGTGTGTGCAGCAGGTACACTTGGAGGCCAGAAGAGAGCATCAGATCCCTTGGAGCTAGAGTTACAGGTGGTAGTGACCTAGCCAATATTGGTGCTAGGAACTGAACTCAGGTCCTCTACAAAAGCAGTGCACACTCTTAATCACCACGCTATCTCTCCAGCCCCAATCAAAACCTTAGAATTTGCAGATATGTAAGAAAGGAAGAATTTATGTTTTATTATATATGACATTCCAAACTTGTATACTCTTACTGAGTAATTGGGAAAAAAGGAAAAATTTGACAATAGTTCACCTATAAGTCAGGTGGATTTAGTTGGGTGGATTTAGTTGTCTGATTCGCAGGATTGTTTAATTCTTCATGAAATCCCATCATCCATATAGCCATACTCTGGTGCCCACCCTGGCAGTTGCTGAAGAATTCTAGGTGTTACACCTATAATTTTTACCAGTATCTGTCTGACTTCCTGACAGATTAATGACTTTAAAACCCTTGGTTACTTACTCTACTGTTATGGGAAATAGTGAGAACAACACTATTCCAGGAAGCTTTTAAAAACCCAAGTGTAACAGGTGCACTGAGAGCTAGTGTTTACAGTTCCTTCTTCATTTCAGGGCAGGCAGCTTGACAGTGGCACGCCATACAATCTGAGTGAGGTGGTGAGTAATTACTTCTATTGCCAAGTTTGTGCTGATTAAAATAAAAGGAATACTGACCAAGTTTTATTGCAATAAGAGTAATTGCTAAATAAAATCTCATTTACTTGTCTTTATTGAAAAAAGTTCAGTTGAAAATAATGAGAAGTTTAAATTATAGAATTCATTAAAAATGAACTGTGTTGATGAGGAAAAAGTACAGGACTAATAAAACTCTTGGTTTTGTCTACAAAGCTGGGTGACTTGGGAGAAATTACTTCTTTATTGCATGTTGTCTGAGATGGTTGGCTATATAGTTTTCTTCCACAATTTTATAGTTTTATTAGTTTTCTGCACGTGGAGTCATTTATTCAATAAATTTTTAGTGACTCAACATGTAAGTTTGAACCAGGCACTGGGCTAGGCAGGAGAGGTTTACACCTGAATAAAAAGGGCCCGTGTTTAAAGGAACCAGAGACAGAATACAATGAAAACCCAAATAGTGGTGGTGTGGTAGGGTAACTAAGAGACTACACAGGAGGAAAGGCACCTCATTTACCTGCAAGGCCTTTAAACTAAAGAAGGAAGAGTTCTCTAGAACAAAGGTCCTTAAACTTCTTTTCTACTTTGGACCCTTTTTCCTCCTGAGGAGTTTTTGTGTGACCTCAGGTGTGTAGGAGAATAAGTATAAATAGGAGTAACAAAGTGGCTCAGTGGGTAAAGATGCCTGCCAAGAAGCTTGATGACCTGAGTTCAGGCCCCAAGATGCACGGACTGAAGCAGAGAACTAACTTCCACAAGTTGTCCTCTGATTGCTATAGACATGGCATAGTGGTGCTTCATCCCACCTCCTCCCCAATGATAAAATAAGGATAACCCAAACATTTACTGGTAACAAATCATCAAGAAATGTATTTAATAAATATGAAAACAAAGTTGTATATTGAGATTAACATGCTTGTTTATTTTTATATAAATAATTAAATCTTAAATACTTATTTAAATTTTTAAAAATAATTTATTGAGAATTTCATATATGCATATAAGGTGTTTTGGTCAAATCCATGCCCACTCCTTCCCCTCCAACTCCTCCCATATCTCCCCATCACTTTTTCTGATAACTTCATGTAGTCCTTCTTTGATTGATTTATTTTTTTTAATGGGGTTTTTGGCTACTCTAACATTCCCCGTTCTGAAGAGGTAACCCTAAAATCTTTTAAGGATTAGGTAAAAGCTCCCAAATATTTTCGACATTTTTGGCCTTTGGAACTGAATAGGTTGCTAAGAGGCCCAAGGACATTTTGAGTTTTAGCCAAGAAACTGGCTACTTTTCTTTGGGGCCTTTTAACCCTAATTGCCTAGTCAATTCCTACCTCCTATTCTTATCACACCATCCTCTGAAGGGGTTACCCAACTTTTGGATAGGTAATCGGGACGCAGACCACTCTGGCTTCGTCCATGCTGATCAGGGACACCAGGTGAGGCAATTGGAGTACCCCTTCAGTGGGTCTATTTAAAAGACTCCCAAATTGCATAACTCTTATCACAAGAAGGAAAAGAAAGTCTTTTTTTTTTCTAAATTTATTTATTTATTTATTTTTAATTAAAAGAAGCATTTCATTACAGCAGCATTAACCTACTCAATAACATTTTTCTGAGCTAGGGTACATCTCTTTCAAAATTGGCTGTACATTTCTAGGTTTACAGATGAATTATTACGCTTATATAATCTTTTACTCATTATAAACTCTATAAGACATAAAATTAAATGAGGTTCCAACGTTTAAAAAAGATCTCCACTTCGTTGTCAAAACACACAGTTTCATCCAGAAAAATTCATTCCAAGGCTCTTGACATTGAGACGTTTTCACATGCATTTCTAATCTCCATATACATGACTATCACTTGTCACAGTAGCCCACCCTCTGAGCTCCTCGGCATCCTAGCACGAATACAAACTCATCAGGTAGACAGCCTTCCTCTCCCTCTAGAGCC